GCTCCCGCCGATTCGACGTGCGTCGGCGGGGGCGACGTCACAACTCGTTGTAGTTGGAATATGATACTGAATGTCAGAATCGGCAAAAGTTTGTAGCCCATTTCGAAATCCCCGCTCAAGAATCCAAAAGGTTCCTTTTCTGCGTTAATGGAGAGAACAATGGCATTTACACAACGGCCGTAAGTAATGGCGTTGTACGGAGTTGGGAAATAATTCGAAATTCTCGAATCATGGCCACTCGAAACATGATGTAGTTGACATGGCTGCGAGGAACTCGTGTTTGCAAACAGTGTAACAAGTAATGAGAAAATGAAATAAGAACACAATATCGTGTTGAGTTTGTTTTTGAAAAAGAAATTTTGCTAATTCGGGTCAACATGATATTTAAAAATGATTCAAAAATGTTTTTACAACCCACTACGAAGACTTGTCACATGACTCTACAGTAATTACAATGATGTAATTTTAAGCTTGATCTGTGACCAATGCTTTCTGGTGGTTACTATGTCGCGAATATGCATAATTAAGTCATCTTTTTTCGTCTGAAGCCCTATGAACTCTTGCAATAAGATACGGCGTCGAGGTACCGTAATTGGCCGAGATTTGGGGTCAAAAAACACGGAACTGACAACATGCTCGAACAACATACTCCTCATTCACAATATGCCTTTTTTAATCCTACGGTAAGAGCTGTTTTCGGCACAAAACTTTCCGAAAAGCAGCTCATTGTCAAATCCAAATACCCCGCGCAAAATAATTCATATCCACATGCAGCGTAGATTGCCAAAAATAGAACAAAGCGAAGTTCTTGAAGTACCCTAGGTGCGACGAAAAAGCGGTTCGATTTTTCACACCCTGGGGCAAAGTATCTTTTTTTGGGAACGCCAATGGGCGTTGACCCCCATCGACTGCTCAGTTTTGGGAGCTTCATTCATCACAAGTTCAATCTATCACAGACGAAGACAAAATGTAACACAGGTGACACCATTACTGCAAGGTCTTTTTATAAAAAAACGGTAAACATAAATAAGGTTAAAAATGGAAAAAGAGCTCAACAGTTGTGTGATTTTATTGAGAGAAGTCTCTAAAAAAGTGTAGCTAAATGTGTGCTAGCCGCTGCAAGATGATGATGGCGGGCAAGGTGTGACGGATCCACGCTATTTTCCCGACAAGTCGAAAAGAAGGAACTACAGTGAGGGTCCTGGTCCAGTGGCAAAAAACGTATTATTTTGCATCCAAGAACTATCACAAAATGTTGCAAAATACCTCAATCTCCAAGTGAAAAAACTCCGATTTTAAAAGCGCGCCCGCTCTTTTTGTGGGGGAAACGGCGCGACCTTCAAAACGAAGTTTTTCACTTGGAGAGGGAGGCATTTTGCCTCATTTTTTGGTACCTCCCGGATGCAAAATGATACGTTTTTTGCCATTGGATCAGGTCCTTCACTGTAGACGAAAACCAAGTTTTTTACAATTTCCAATCAAAAAATCTCAGCGCTTTGCTGGAAAGCACGGGCAAGAGTTCGCACAATAGTTTTACTTCACATTACAGACTTCCTTCTAGTAAGAGAGCAATTCTTAATAGTCCGAAAGGCCAAGACAAAATCATCCCAGCGACTTTTCGAAGGCCCCAGTAAACCTTCAACTTTTTCAGCTCAACAAAAAAGTCTTTAACAAATTTTCACAAGCCCTGGGGCTTCAGCGTAACACATGGATATCACCCAAAAAATTGTTAACACCCAAAAACTTGCCCCCGAAAAATACTACCTATACTGGTCGCCAATGGTCAAGCAAAATGCGATCGCCATCCCGCTCGCAAACCACTCAAAAATCGGGACTAATGGGTCCATATTGGGCGGGATCAATGAAGTTTGACTCAAAACAGAAAAAATGGAAAATAATAAGGGTTTCTTATCAACCTCCTCTCCCCTTTTTTTCATGGCCGCCATGCATGGAGCGGAACTGCTGTCGCCGCGATAAGACTTTGGTTTGGGTTTGGAAAAGGAAAATTTAACGGTGTGCATATTGATGGTTATGCTAAGCTCGGCTTATGAAAGCTGGAGTCCCAAAAATAGGGAAAAGGAGTTCGACATTGAACCCAGAGCGTAATTTTTTCATATACATGCCTACAAGGATGGTGTTTGAAGCGCGACGCTAAGATTTTTCTTTGGTGCTACATTCTGTTTTCACACGAAAATTTTAAAAAAGTGCTACATCTTTGCCTACTGTGTTTAGCGAGCTACGAATGCAGCATGGAGTTTTTTTAAATGCTAGTTGCTCTTTATGTAAAGTCTGTAGGATTTCTTCGCGGATGTGTTAGCGAAAAAGCGCATGAATGCAAACACGGAAAGCCGCTTCTGCGAAGAACGCACTGTGCAAACCTCTGCGACTTTTATGGCGCCACTAGTACCAGTCTGTCGGAAAAATAGTGTGGATTTATCGCAGAGAAATGCCTCGCCTTGTCGACACACCAATTCTTCAGCCGTGGCTAGTCGTCGCAAGGCGATGATGGGCGATTCTATAGCTGAATCCACATTATTTTCCAGACAGATTTATATAGAAAAAAAATCTAAATCAAAATTTGAACAACCCTTATCAAAAAGTCGAACTTGCATCATTTCCCCTGCTAATTGGCTAGACTACAAAATCTCCGTAAAGCTGACAAATTTTATGCTGAAGAGAACGGACCAGATCAGTGTTTCAGATTCCATTTGAACTACACATAAATATCGGGCAGCTTTCAATTAAAAATGCAAATTGCAAATTCTATGAATTCAGGCCCAAATTGATAAGACAAATGTATAATTAATTTTATGAGGTCTGTGTCCTGACGGGCCCAACTGCCCACCCACACGCCTGATTGCTCCTTTCGCAGAGTGCAGGCGTTGGTGCAACACAAAACCCTCAACTTTAAGTCTCAACGATCAACATGGTCGTCCCAGACACCGAAAATGCACTTGATATTAATATTTTCCGGGCCGTGCTCCAGATCTTATCGCAGTGGGTCAATCATATGTGCGGAGAAATTATGGACCGATTTCTGCATTATTATCGCTTTTAACAGCATGAAAAGTTGGTCAGTGCTTCAGTGGATTTGTCTGTTGCAAGGTAGGAAAAGGGGGAAATGAAAAAAAGTATAGGGAGCAAAAAGATTGCCGCAGGGCGTCGCCGAGTTGTTTATTTGTTTATGCGATTGAAGAAGTGATAAAAAAGAAAGGTTGCATACGGCCGTTATTGTCCTTCTAATGACCTCTCTTCAGAAGAACGCCTTTTTCGTTCAGAGAGAGGCGAGTGAAGACGCACATCAGCTCTAAATATCAGGCTGTCGGAAAAATAATGTGTTTTCGTCGCATCTTGGAGTCACCAATCATCGCTTTGCGACGCCTAGCCTCGGCTGGAGATTAGTGTGCGATTGCAACGAGGCGAGACATTTGTGTGCAAGAAATCCACATTATTTTCCCGACGGATAGACGAAAAATGACCTTCGCCAACTTTAGAGTTTTGCACAAAAAAATGCCAGAGTTCTTCAAGAAGTGAATAAAAAATTTATTCCGAGAAAAATACAGGGTGCGCCAAAAAAAATGGACAAAAATATTTTGGCGATATCTGGCTCTGGGGTAAAATATTTGAGGAAACGTTTTAGCTCACTAAATAGCGACGTTCAAGAAATATATTCATGATAAGAATGAAGGTATAAATTTACTGCACCTTTTTTTCTCGGGGGTTAAAGTTGACCATGTCCCGATCGCAATTCTCGAAAATGGGTCCTTTGGAAAGTGAGGAATAAATATTTTTTAAGGCGTCACCGAAACTTCAAATAAAAGTTTTCGAATACGCTAAGACCAGTACTATCACATATGTAAAGGAGTAGTAATAGTAACTTTCCATTTCAATACCGCAGACATTCTAACTTGAGCCGCAGGGGCACTAAAATAAAACCCAAAATTTTGAAAACCAGGAAAAGTTTTGTAGTGAGAAACTGATAAGGCTTTGGACAACTGCCAAGCTTTGAGTTGTTTGCCGACCGAGTAGGTACTGAAAAAACTGTTTTTTAAATTTTCAGCGTCGTCATGCTTCGAGTTAGTGACAAAATTCTAAAATTTTGGACGAAAACTGGAGATTTTTTTTAAAAAGTGTACTGAAAAGTCGCTGTTGATCCTAGCTGGCCCAAAAGGCACTTATAGTATAAATTTAGGTCTCTTCTATAGTGTCAAAAAGATTCAAGCTGAAACCTGCTCTTTCGGAGGAGATCCGAGGGCTCAAAGGGTAACCGGTGGGTGCCCGCGAAAAGTACCGTGTCAGCGGCTTCTTTTCTTAACTTTCAGACACACTGGAGCCGTGCTTTATATTTTTATGTTGAATAAACGCATGGCCCGCATAGAATAGAATATTAGGAACATCTCATGCCGCATTTTACAATTCTTCTAACCGATGACGCCGATATATTCAGTTCAGAAGCCGTTCCTTCCAAAGATCTGCAAAGATCAGGGTCAGTCCGACTTCTGATGCTTTTCCTCAGAGCCGGAGTCGTTTCTGTTCTGGGTCTACCACTTCCTGGGAACCTCTAGATGCTACCCACATCCTCAAACATATCCTAAGCCCAGGTGACAGTTGTACGGAGAGAACCACAACCTCAAACAATTTTCTTCCGGGAAAATTCTTTAGAAAATAAAGACACAATTTGGTCCCTCTTTGCCTTTTTGCCCATATTGCAAAAATGTGTGGGAAAAGTAAAAAAGGGATTTAAGGGGTCTGCAAGTGACTGGTTTGTGGTCATAATGGTCCCATTTTCCCTACTGGTTACGCTTTTCGTGGCGGGACACAACCCTTTTTATTTTTGTCCATTTTTTTTGGCGCACCCTGTATTAGGTTGTTACATAAGTTTCCGGACTTTTTGACATAACTTCTTTGTAATAAGGGATATCATATTTTTGTTTATTGCGTTCGATAGAGAATTTTGTTGGGATCATTTTGGTATATAACTTTGTATTGTTTAGTTTAATATGAGTCTGTCACGCTCCGATATTCGTAAGCTGCTCAAATACGAGTTTTTGCGAGGTGCCAATGCGCCGACGGCCCTGGAGCGCATCAACGAAGCTCACGGTCCGGGAACTGTGTCTCGAACTACGGCGTTTGACTGGTACTTCAAGTTTAAAAACGGAAAAATGGGCGTCGATGACCAGAAGCGAAGTGGCAGACCGAAAACCGTCGATCGAGCCGGTGTCCTCAACTTTCGGGCAAAAAAGGTGTTGTTGTGCGTCTGGTGGGACCGACGCGGGCCAATTCACTGGGAATTGATGCCAAACGGTCAGACAATTACGGCCCAAGTGTATTGTGAGCAATTGGAGCGAGTTCGACGCAAAATGCGCAAGCGCCGAATTCCGGTGATTTTTCTCCACGATAACGCGAAACCGCACACAGCTCAGTTGACGCGCGGCAAATTGGCCGAAATGGGCTGGGAGGTGCTGGATCACCCGCCATACAGTCCGGACATCTCCCCCACCGATTTCCACTTGTTTCGCGGCCTGGAACATTGGATCCGTGGCAAAAAATTCGATTCCTCAAGGAATTTTTCGCTTCGAAGGCCCGTGCTTGGTACGCTCGTGGCATCAACCTGCTTGAAGAACGCTGGCAGAAGTTAATTGAATCTGGTGGAGAATACTTTGAATAACTTATTTTTAATTTTAGTTGTTTTTGATTTTGTTGTTGTTGTTGAAATAAGCGTTGTTGAAAAAGTCCGGAAACTTATGTAACAACCGACGTATGAGTCTGTCTGGAAAATAATGTGGATTTGCCGCAAAAAAACGTCTCGCCTCGTCGCTCTACCAATTCTTCAGCCGCGGACAGCCGTCGCAAACCGATGATGGGCTTTCAAAGGTAAAATCTGGCTGGAAAATAATGTGGATTCACCGCGCTCAAGAACAGCCCAACGCTCTGGGTTCAATTTTATTGGCTTTGCGACGGCTGGCCCCAGCTCAAGATGCAGTGCGCTACTGCGACGAGGCGAATTTATGCTGCGACGAATTCACATTATTTTCCCGACAGATTGATACAGACGAAAAGGAGACGAGTGACCGATCTCCTTGGTTGCCTAAAGCGTTGCTTTACTCCCACAATATCGCTGTCTGCATACAGTATGAGGTTTGCAAATCTCTGCAGACAGCCATGTGCCGTACATATTGTTTACACCAATCAAAACAGCATTTGGAAACTTTGAAAAAAGCCCCGACAAAATTACGGGGCTGTAGACAGCATTTCCCTCAGCTGCTCGTAATTACAGTCGACTTGAGCAATTAAATCAAACTACAGGGTTGGTGGGAGTACAGCGGAAATACCGAAGCTATTTGTTTTACAACCCATTAAAAATTCCGTCCTGTAAAGGTCGCATAATAACCATGTCCCCAACTAGAATGGGAAGTGTAAATATTCAATACATTAAACAGTAAGTAAACAGCCAGTACGCCGGACATTAGATATAGCTTTTGAGGCATTGAGCTGCACTTTGTAACATTAGCCGGGTGGGCCACACAAACGAACATTGCTAATGCGTTTACACATGCTCTAAAGAATGTGCATAGATTTTAAAATCGAATGTTGCATTCAAAATAAAGTGCGGCTTTTGTTTTAAAATACGATTTCTGATTATGAGTCATTCTACGGTCTCTCTCTCGCAAAAAATAAAGAAAGATTATTGAATAATAGATCGCCACATTTATTGCGTCAAATCCACATTATTTTCCCGACAGACTGATAACAGCAAAAAAAATATGAACATATTTTTTTTCTACGTTGACGCCTACTCACGTCTCAGAAATTGTTCTTCGACAGTTTAAAGTCACAAGAAGCCAGCATTATGACAAACTTTCTCGCAGTCGCAACAATTTTAAATCTTTAATCTTCCAGTATAATATGTGGAGTATTTGTGAACAAATCTGCCCTACAATTGTTTTCCCTCTCTACGCACTTTAAAGAAACGTATTATTTTGATTCATCTCGCACATGTACGCAATCAGCTCTCGAGTTAATGGCGCCTAATAGCGGACGAATACACTTGAGGAAGGACAAAAATAAATGTACGTGTAAAAGTGCAGAGAAACATGTAGGATTTGAAAGAGCGGAGAAGTGTTGTGATTCCGGGAGTGGAGTTTGAAAACACAAAGTTGAGAGATTGGAGATGGAACGCACTTCAATGAGGAAGTCCTCAAAGTGCGATCCAAAACACCGGCCAAAACATACGATGATCATTTTCTATGACATGTGCCAGAATCCTTGCCCGCCATTTGCTATTTTTTTCATTGTCAGAAAACACCAGAGATTTTTTTGACCAAAAATTGACATGAATAAAATTTTTTACGCGGCAACAAAACAACCGCATTTGAAACTTGCTTTTACGGCTTGGAGGACGAAATGCCACATTGTTTTTGGCTGGCTCTCGTCGCAAAAACTAATTTGCAGTAATTCAAAGTATACAAACATGGTTAAACTACAGTGGCGGACCTGATCCATTGGCCAAAAAGTTCAAAACGGAGTTTTTTTAGTTGGAGAGGGAGGCATTTTGCCACATGTTTGATACTTCCCGCATGAAAAATGATACGTTTTCTGCCACTGGATCAGGTCACTGTACGTTTTCAACCGTTTTTAGATTCATTTATACACTTTGCATTCAGGGCATGCGAGAAAAAAATCTCTGCTGTTTTTTTGCAGAGTGCGAGCTTGAAATCCCTTATATGCCCAAGGTGTCACGAATTCAGTGAGGCACGTGTATAAAGGGTCCCTGTTCTAGTTCTGATTTAGGATCCTAAGCCCAAACAATACTATAAAAACAAACGACTACACAAACTTAGAAAAACGACTAACTAAACTCAGGAAACAACTTCACTAATGGACTCACAATAATTGACTCCACGAACACAAGAGTTGACCATAGACAAATCGGGGCTAAGGTAGTACAGCCCCCCAGTCCAGTTTAGCCCCCCATGACCCAGTACAAACCCCCTCGTCCATTCTGAACCCCAAAATTTATTTCAAAGAAATAATCCAAGTTGTATGGTCCAGCACAAGCCACCTACGTTTTAGATGAAGCCCCCTACGTTTTAGATCAAGCCCCCTACGTTTTAGATCAAGCCCCCTACGTTTTAGATCAAACCCCCTTTTAGATCAAACCCCCTACGTTTTAGATGAAGCCCCCTACGTTTTAGATCAAGCCCCCAACGTAGTAGATCAAACCCCCACTTACATTTTTTGCATTATTCTAATTTGTTCATTATGTGGGGTGTGAAACGGGCAAAACAGTGGGGGTTTGAACTACCTTTCGTGGGGGGCTCAACTACCGAAGCCCCGACAAATCAATAATAGACAACAGTAGAAATACGACGGTTTATTGCTCCAAACAACATACAGGGCGGGCCATTCGAACCTTCCGTCCTCATTTTTTAGATTTCTCCGCGGAGACTCCGCCGATTTTCATGAAATTTAGATTTTTTTGGAGCTGAGATTCGCCATTTTCAACCGATTGATTTTCAAACAAAAATACTCTGAATTTACTTTACTATGCCTTCCCGAAGTTTTTGAAAATTATTTTCGAGCCGAAACCGCAAAAACTTGGAAAATTTTTCGAATGGTTTTCAATTGACTTTGTCGGGCTTCGAAAATTCCTGGCTTTTTTGGTAAAATCGTGGAGTAAAAAGTCCCGTATGCTTTCTCTAAACTGGCTTAAAGTAAGTTAAAAGCAAAAAGAGTGTTGTCTGTATTGCCGTTATGGTATGAACGGTGAAAAAAAGTTTTTTGCAACAAGAGTGGACGTGCTTCTTCCCGTAAAGTCCACGTTAAGGCTACAAGCCATGGCTTGGCGCACAAGTTTTAGCGGTTTCGGCTCGAAAATAATTTTCAAAAACTTCGGGAAGGCATAGTAAAGTCAATTCAGAGTATTTTTACCTGAAATTCAATCGGTTAAAAATGGCAAATCTCAGCTCCAGAAGAATCTAAATTTCATGAAAATCGGCGGAGTCTCCGCGGAGAAATCTAAAAAAAAGAGGACGGAAGGTTTGAGTGGCCCACCCTGTACAACCGGGAAAAGACAGAAACAAAGTTATGATGATTGGGCGATTTCTCTTCTTTTTATACCAACTTGTTGGTCATTCCGTGGGAATATGCAAATTCGCACGCGAAGTCGTGACAAAGGAAAAAATACCATAACTTTTGCAAAGTTTCCATAAAAATTGATGCGTCGCACTTTGAGCAAAAAAACAAAAAAAGTGCGCATTTAAATCCACTTTATTTACCACTTCCACTGACTCCCATAAACATACCGTTTACCGGCAATTATCACTCCATTTCACACTTCCGTTTCAGTGTCTGTACTGTGGTCTTTGCCCGAGGCGGAGCGGCGTCTAATTGCCGACCTTCACAACTCGTACCGTTCGAAGCTGGCGTTGGGCCTGCTGCGCGTCCAAGACAAGTGGTTGCCGTCCACACAAAACATGTACAAACTCGTAAGTACAGTGGGCACTCAAACTCCGAAGATCGGCGTTCAAAGTGTTGATTACGAAGGCTCATTAACTCATCTGTTTTTGAGTAATAATTGCGACTAGAAGGGATGAATTTGCGCCCAATTCACGGTAAATGTATTGAATATTGCGATAATTTGAAAAGAGTTTGGCCAGTAGAGTGTTTTGACTTTTTTTGAAAGCCGAGACTTGTCGCCGGACTGCTGGCGTTTTTGCAAAAAAATATAATAAGTCAACAGTTGGTATACAGTAGACCCGTACATGTTCTTTTTGTGACGAAACACCATGTTGATTAAGTACTGGTCAAGACATATACCTTCAAGGCACGTTGGATTGACTTACCATACGGGAGTCAGTTACAATACAAAATAAAAACTGGGGCTTTGGCAGTTCAGCCCCCACGAAAGGTAGTTCAAACCCCCACTGTTTTACCCATTTCACAACCACATAATGAAAAAATTAGAATAATACAAAAAAATGCAAATCAGTAAAATGTATAAATTCTGAAACGATTCATTCTCATTGTTCTTCTCTTTCGAAGCTGGTTGTCATGTCGGAAGTATCGACGTTGGAGGGCTTGATCTAAAACGTAGGGGCCCGATCTATGTAAAACGTAGGGGGCTTGATCTAAAACGCAGGGAACTTGATCTAAAACGTTCCTTCTCATCAAGCTTTCATTGACGCTTTCTGGAGTGCTGTTGCTGGATCATACAACCTGGATTAATTTTTTGAAATAAATTTTGGGAGTTCAGAATGGACGAGGGGGTTTGTATTGGGTCATGGGGGGCTGAACTGGACTGGGGGGTTATACTGCCTTAGCCCCTAAAAACTGTAGGAATACGAGCCCCACCTGGAAACAATGGCTCAGAACCACGCCAATACGTGCGTCTTCCTCCACTCCATCGAGCATCGTCGGCCGAAACTTGGAGAGAATATATGCAGATATGTCATTGAACAGCCCGTTGTTCCGCACGGTAATTTTTGACCGGCTTGTTGTTCTATACGGTAATGTGTGGCGACTTTCAGAGGCGATAGTCAAAGACTGCATAGCCCGCTGGTACAACACAAGCATCAATTTTGATCCGGAAAAGTTGAAGTTCAATGTAAGGCATTACATTGGGAACGTCAACGATTTTACGGCGATGATTTGGGGTGCCGCAACAGCAGTTGGGTGTGGCTTGAGGCAATGCGACGATCAGGTCTTCTTTGTTTGTAATTATGGACCGAGGTGAGTTTTTTATAATCGTCATTCCGGAAAAGTCGCTGGACTTATTTCTGGCGTTTGTTCTGTGTGAAAAAAAGGGTGCGAGCTACACCCCAAAATAGCCTATTGCACGGTGCAAAAAGCCATAAATTGATCAGTGGTCACTAGTTGTAAACCTTTGTTGTCTCACAGTGCCTGTCGCCGATTTCAGTTCGGTGTCTTTCCGAAATGGCTATCAGTCTGTCGGGAAAATAGTGGCGGGCAGTGGTGTCTTGGAATCGCCCATCATCGCTTTGCGACGGTAAGCCGCAGCTGGGGATTTGCGCCCTTTTTTTCGACAAGGCAAAAAATTTTGCTGCGACGAACCGCTACTATTTTCCCGACAGACTGATACTTTTTGTTTGCAAGCTGGAAAAAAGATGATTTTGAAAATCCCGTCACTTTTCCTATCACTAGCGTATGTTTTGAGATTTTTATGTCGATAGTTTACGAAAATGTTTGACTGCTTTGCAAATTTTGACATGAAAGTTGTTATACCATTTCTACTGTAGAGAGTGATGTTTCCAAAAACATAAATTTTTCCGGCACGAAATTGGTAGAGAGAGATACGGTCAATCAGTGTCTTTCTCTGACCTCTCTGCGCGTTTTGCGCACGCTCTTAGCGTCAAAGATCGTTGTAGTCTATCTCGGCTGCAAAGGCGAGATCAAACAACACCTTTAGGAAGTGATATGTGCGCAAAAATTTAGACAGAATCCCAGACACCTTTCTCTTCATTTTTGTCGACTGTTTACTGTCGATCAATTTCGTAATCTGCGAAAAATACGAGAAATGCGATATCTACCACCGCATGATTTTTGTAGCTGGTTTATTTTTAGGAGTAACGTCCTTGACGAGCCAATCTTTGAGCCGGGACTTCCGTGCCGAGCTGCTATCGAATGCACGACCTTTGGGAGAAGTCAGTGTGAGAATTCGACTGGACTCTGTGTTTCTTATTAGATGTGGGCTTCAAAAGACACTCCGTGCAAGAAATTCTAGCCCAACAGACATCAATTTAGCATTTTATGCAGTAACCTTTCATAACCAATAAATTTTTTGATATGATTCGTTGTACATTACCTTTCCTTTTCATCTCATTAACTTCCTATTAACAAGGGAAGTACTACAAGAGCGACGGTCAGATTTTGATGAAACTTGGCGTAAATTCAGAATAATTTTTGCCAAGACCTATACAAGGCTCCTAGCTCACGCTTTGCAGAACCAAACAAGGTTTTTAGAAACTTCTCATTCTTATTTCTACCAATGTTTCGACAAAAAATCAGTTTCTATTTTCTACAAAACTGGTAAAGATACGGAAAAAGAATAGCTCTGCCCTCAGGGACCGCAGAAGCCTTTGGAAGCCGATCGTACACTCACTGCCTAAAGCCTTCAACACCATTAGGTCACCAGTATGGATCTAGTCACCACGCTAGACTGTGACTGTAAAAAAATACGTATACATGTGCATTGAGCACTTCCTTTTGCTTACAAATTTGGGTCATCATCAAAACACCATCAAAACTACGACCATTGTAGCAAATAACCCAGTTTCTCACTGGTTTATCATAATTTATTACTCATCGAGAAGTGCTCTCCAAACTCTTGCACTTTTCTACCCCGACGTTACCCATGGATTTCAAGTTTTTTTTGGCGAGAAATCTTCATAAATCATCTGTGTCGTAGGCGTTTTTTCGCGCCTCGCCGTCGCTGTGGAAGAACGAGAAAATGGAAGTCAAGGTGGATCCCCAAAAAAGGATCGGCACGATCATGTGCGATGATAAAACGAACGCCTTTCGTTCGTAAAATAGCCTGAAGATCTTCGCCAAGTCGTTTTTAAAAAACTCTCCGCCGTGCATTCGGGTTTAGTCGCGCGAAGATGTCGAGGTGGCTGCTCGTGGCGCTGCTGGCGTTGGCATTGTTGCAAGTGGAAGTGGAGGGAGTGAAGCGGAGATTCTTGCGCCGACAGCAACGCAAGTCGAAGACCCCAACCGGGCATGCGCTGGTCAAGAGAGTCAATGATCAGGGGAAGTGGAAGGTAAGGCTTGTTTAAAGTCAGGGAAAACGGTTTACCTTGTGTTTACCCACAAAAGAGGAGCACATTTTACTATCTCTATGTCGGGAAAATAATGAGCATAAAGTCGCATCAAAAATCGCGTCGAATTTTCAACACGGCAGGGTGCTCATTATTTCCCCGACAGACTGATAATATAATATTCTAGCAACGTTTTTTGAGCGGAATGGCAATTTATTACTATAAACAAGAACTCAATTTTTTACTGAAAAATTTTAGGCCGCTTATGCTCCCTACTTCGCCAAATCCAAGCCTGAAGCCATTCGTCAGTTGATGGGAGTCCGTGAGGATGTTCCTCAAGTTTTGGCTCGGGATATCGCCAAGAATCCTCGGGCATTCTCCCCTCCAACCGACTACAATATAACCACTATTCCCAAGGAATTCGACTCGCGAAAGGCTTGGCCAGAATGTGCCGACCTCATCAACTCGGTTCAAGATCAATCTCTCTGTGGATCTTGCTGGGCTGTGAGTTCGTCGACCGCGTTGGCTGATCGTATTTGCATCGCGACCAAGGGAAAAACGAAGGTTTCTTTGTCGACCATCGATTTGGTATCTTGTTGCAGTGAGTGCGGATATAGGTGAGTTTCATTTCCGACCCACAATACTAATAGTCTGTCGGGAAAATAGTGGTGTGTGGTCGCTGCAAAATGTTTTTTGCCAAGTTCGTTGTTATGTTTTCGGTCTGTCGGGAAAATAATGAGCACCCTGTCGCATCGAAAATCGCATCGCTGCCGAGAAAATGAATTGTGTAGCGGCAAAATCAAATTGCTTTTTATATACTTCAGCGACGCGAGCGGCACAGCGGCATTGTGCTCATTATTTTCCTGACAAACTGATAGTACTCGAAACAACAAGAACGATTCCTAGTGTAGTTTACAATGATTTTACAACCTTATGTAGTATTCTCCCCTCCTTTTCAGCTGTGTTGGAGGCTATCCTCACCGTGCCTTCAAATACATTTATGACAACGGAATTGTCACAGGAACTAATTACACCCATCCCGACGGATGCAAACCCTACCCATTCAAGCCGTGCGAGCACACTGGCGGCGCCTTCAGATCGAAGTATCCACAATGCTACGGTAGACAGCCTAGCCCTCCGAAATGCGAGCAAAAGTGCAGCAAAGACGGATACAAGAGAACCTTCGAAAATGACAAGTTCTACGGTAAGCTTTAGGGGGATGTTGTGGAAAACTTGGCACGTATACAGTTTATACATATGCAGTATATATTAGCAGTTTGTCGGAAGAATAATGACCACTCTGTCGCATACAAAATCGTATCGCCGCTGAGGAAATGCATTGTGTCGTGGTAAAATCAAATTGCTTTTCACTTCAGCGACATTGTACTCATTGTTTTCCCGACAGATATTACTGCTTCCTGCGACCTTTATATCCATTTCGCCGATGGTACTTCCCTTGCAAAGAGATTCTCGGTTTCACACGCTAAGACACCCAGTCTTCTAGTACGCTGTCCTAGACAAGCTCCCAACTTTAACAATAAGCGTTATTGTTAAAGTTGGAGGACTTCTTGCTTATCCTCCGAAATATCACAACGGAAGATGACCAAAGTACAGTAGATATTTAGATTCCAATATTTTCTTAGCGCGAGTAGTTGACCGCTCACTCCGCTGCTTTTTCACCAATTGCCCACACGATCTGACGGCCAACCGCTCGCTCACGCTGCAAAAGTCCAAATTGATCTTCCATTATTTCCAAATCCACGTCTCGGTCGATTGCGGCGGAGTGCGAATGTCCTTTTGGGTTTCGTGTCGGGACGCAGCGGCGGGCCGAATGCTATTACAGCGGCCGTGACCATACTTTACAAAGTCTGCTGAATTTCTCGACTGGCTTTGCCGGAGGATGCCAAAGATTTTAAGGGGGACTTTTTAAAGACTAGCGATTCTAATTGACAAAACAAATCGCTCTATTTTTCTATTTTTCCTTTTCCAGTCTCCACCTGGTACAATCTCAACAAGGACGCTGTCGGCTTGCAAAAAGAGATCATGACCAACGGTCCGGCTGTGTTCACTGCGATGCGCATGTACGAAGACTTCCTGTACTACCGCAGCGGTGTCTACGAGCACATCGCCGGTCGCTACTTCGGACTGCACGCGGTCCGAGTGATCGGATGGGGTGAGGAGAACGGAGTGCCATATTGGATCGTTGCGAACAGCTGGAACAAATATTGGGGAGATAACGGGTTCTTCAAGGTGCGACGAGGAAACAATGAAGTCGGCATAGAGAGTGTGATCGATGTCGCGATTCCGGACATCCAAAGATCCGCAACTCAGCAGATCAAGTATGAAGGCGTATAAGTTTTCAGTGTAATATCGATAAATTAATCTTATTGGAATAAATTTAATGTTATAGTAGTGGTTTTTTGGTCTGAAATTATTCTTACACCAATATATCAGTCCGTCGGGAAAATAATGAGCTGTCTGTCGCATCGAAAAACGCATCGCTGCCGAGAAAACGAATTGTGTCGCGGCAAAATTAAATTGCCTTTCACTTCAATGACTCGATTGACGCAGCGACACCTTTCTCATTATTTTACCGACAGACTGATAAAAAAGTCCAGCTCCGCAGAGCTGAGATATTCAGCGGGTTCCGTCAAGGAGGTAGTGCGTAAAATGAGGCAATCGGTCAGAGACATAAACGGCAGGTTTTGTCATATATTATACTAGTTTGTCGGGAAAATAATGTGGATTTGCCGCAAGAAATTGTCTCGGCTGGTCACAGTCGCACATTAAATCTCTAGCCCGGATAATTGTCGTAAAAAGGTAATGGGTGATTCGAAGGCGCACCGAATCCACATTATTTTCCCGACGGACTGAGCGGTACTTTCCCAACATCGCTTGCGGTAAAAAGTTGTCGATGCAAAGACGGGGGCTAAGGTAGTACAAACCCCCAGTCCAGTTAAGACCCCCATGGCCCAGTACAAACCCCCTCATCCGATGAGGGGGTTTGTACTGGACCCCCAAAATTTATTTTCAAAGAATTAAATCAAAGTCTAACACACTTGATTTAAAACGTAGGGGGTTCGATGTACAACGTTGGGGGTTTGATCTACTGGTCTATCGCGATGGTACTTGGGAGCTCCGGGGCTGAACTCGGAAAGCCCCCAAAGTAGCACTAAGCATCCCTTCAGTCACCAGCGTTTCCCTCAAGTACTGTCAATGTAAGCCCTAGATGATGACATTACCCATTTTTTGGAATCTTTTTCTGGCAATATAAACACTGTTAACTTACTTCGCGTGGCCAAAACACCCTTAATTAACATTGCTTTCACTCCAATTTGTGCTCTATGACCAGCTCGGAAAGATGGCCTTCTATGGAGCATGTCTATTCATTGCCTAAATCAAACTCCATTTTCTTTCATTTACTCGACCCCCGCACTACCCGGAATTGACGTGACTCCCCACCCTCACGCGCTGCACTTTCCCCGCCCGCCGGTCGGCGCCGCTAACACCACAGACTTTTTATTCGCTTTACACAACTTTAACGGGTAACATTTATAACATACAAATATGGTTTATAACTGGCAAAAAAGCAATACTTAGGAACCTTGTGTGATTTGGTGTGCGCCCGACTAGAGGAGCAGCGCGTCGAAGAGGCGGGTCTGACGCCGTCGCACCGCCCGCAGGCCCGTGCACACGCACTGGCCGGGGATCTTGATCATCTGCCACTTGGTGGGCCGCTCGATTTTCGCGTCGCGGATGATGTCGTTCAGGTGCGAGCGCTTGGCGCCCGCCTGCTTCACGTACGTCAGCGCCATCACCAGGTTGAAACGCGTCTCGCAGTGCGATTCAAGCCTGAAAATTCGAGAGTTAAAATTTGGTGGGGATAAGAAAGGAGGTGGGCAAAATCTACTATAGTTGATATCATAGGTATATCAATGATGGCTTATTGCGTTTTATGAAGTTTTAGGCGAATTTAGAACCCCATTTTCAAAAAAAAAAAAAAAATTAGGAAGTATAATGTGCTCTATGGAGAAGAGAATGAAATTTTTATGCAGTAAAAAATAAGCAAATAATGTATCAGTCTGTCGGGAAAATAATGTGGATTCGTCGTAGAATCCCCCATCACCGTTTTGCGACGTATAGCCGCAGCTGGAGATTTGATGTGCGACCGTGACGAGGCGAGACATTTTTCTGCGTCAAATCCACATTATTTTCCCGACAGACTGATAGTTATATAATACAAAGGTAATGTCGAAAAAAACTATTTTTCTTGCTTACTTTGAGCTATCATTGTATTTAGACGTCCAAAAAAGTTGGAAGTGTCCTAAGAAGCTCAAAAAATGTAAATTTGTTGAAAATTTTGAATATTCAAAAAAAAATTAAAAAGTTTTGAATTCTTACCCATTTTGAATGCCTGCACAAGGCCTTGTCTCCTGCGTTTCGTTGCATCGAACTGTGTAGAAGACCTGAGGCCCGACGTCCTGCACCACCTCGACCAGCTCGTCTGATGGGGTGTAGGCTTCGGTGGGTTGTCGCCACTCCGCGACCGTTTCGCAGGCATCCTCTGTTAGGGACTGGAATTTTTCTTATTATTAGTTTTTATTATTACTTTTTTAGGTGTAAAAAATTTTTTGATTGAGTGGAAATGCCGAGAAAAAACTGATTTTTTCTTGGAAAAATGTCAAGAAATGTATTTTATTTTATTTTTTTTTGGAATTTTTAGCGATTTTTTTTTAGATAAAAAATAGTAATTTTGGATTTTTTTATATTTTTTTTGTTTAAAAAAAAAATAAAAAAAAATAAAAAAATTTTTTAAACCCTATATACAAAAATATTGATGATGTGGGCCTAGAGGCAGGTAATTTGACCCAAAAACCCCGGGAAAACTTACCGCTTGCACTGCACTGAAGCCAATAATAAGAAATGCGAGACTCATGGTGTACATTACTGGGCGGGAAGGAATAAATTATGTATTAGCCACAACTAAAAAACCGTTTCAACCCCTGAAAAAATCAGATTAATAATTAAAAAATCAATTTTAATAATGTAGGAAAAACCCGAAAAATGATTAAAAATGACGTCATATAAAAATATTTTTTTTAATGAAGTAGTTGTGAGATCTCCGTAATTTTACAATAAATTATTTACAATAACAGGGAAATTGTCAATGTTTGTACAACATAATGATATAAAAATTGCGGAACAAATACGTATAAAGAATGTAAATTGTAAAGACATGTGATGTAGATGTAATAGTAAATATGATATCCGCTTTCACACAATAAAATACAAATTTTCCACATTCTTTTCAATCAAAAAAGGTTGTAGAAATGCTATAAAGTGTGCTTTAGAATAAAAAATCATTACGTAAAAATAAAAAAAAAATTTAATTGTAATTATAAAAGAAAAAATAAATAATAAAAAATCGAATTCCTTGTGCCGGAAATGTTCAAAAAACACTAAATTATTATATTTCGGGATGCAAAATTTGAATCAAAGTTGCCCGGGAAACGCAAAATTTGGGACCTTTCGCATTAAAGGTCATGTTTTGTTGCCATTGATGGTCTCTGTCCAGCTACGAAAACATGGCAACAAACAAAAAAATCTTAAGATTCAATTTTGCACCAAAATTAAAACCTTTGTACAACGAATCTTCTGTATAACGGACAAATCTTTTGCCTTCTAAAAAGTCATTGTGATGGGATTACTGTAATATATTTTTGAAAAGTAGTAAAAAGCAACTCTCTCTTCTTCATAAAACCGACCTTAATTAATCGGATGTAATACGATTAAGAAAGATTTCATATAAATTCTAATTCGTATGTGAAATTGAATCCAAAGTTCAAAACAAGACCAACCGGACAGAGCAGGAATACAAAAAATATTTTTTTCATATAATCTTCTCAATTACAGGAAATTTATAATGCGGGAAACGGAAAAAAATGATAAACAATAACGGAGAAAAACTTGAGTTTCAAAAAAAAAAAAATAATAAATGATAATATATTTTTTTCACAAGGAAAGTACTTCTATGGGGTGTGGAGTTACAGGTCGAGATATATATCAAAAAATTCGCAAAAATTTTCTGATTCAGAATATATAAAAATTAGCTGCCTAATTTTGGTCTATCAACGAGTTTTATCAATAAATGTATTTCTCGAGGAAAAAAATCTGCGGCAACAAAAGCGCGCTCGGTCTCTTCCTTCGAAAGAGAGCGGTGTGGCCGAGTGGTTAGAGCGCTAGATTGGGAATCCGAAGGGAGCGGGTTCGTCTCGTTTTGCCACACTAGAACCCATTTTTTACATTGGAACTACTTTTAAAGTGTAGTTGTAATCCAATTTGATATTTTAAGGCTTGTCAAGGCCTCAGAATTTATTTTAACACAAAACAAAATTTTTTTATTGGTAAAAACACGGTCAAAAAGACACTTGCATGGTGTCGCGAGAAAACTTCTGAGGACAAAAACATGTCATCAGACCAAAATTAGGCAGCTAATTTTTATATATTCTGAATCAGAAAATTTTTGCGAATTTTTTGATATATATCTCGACCTGTAACTCCACACCCCATAGAAGTACTTTCCTTGTCAAATGCCTTCAAGATATATACTGCGCGTCAAAAGTTTGGAACAGGCCGGATCTTCTTTGCGGCTTGAGATAGGAGTTTCATTTCTTTTTTATTAGAAGCTCCATGTATTAGGAACCTCAATGAATACATAGCCATGGAAATCAGAAAGCTCGTTGGAATTTAAAAAAAAAATTTTAAAATAAGTGCGTCAAAAGTTTGGAACAGCTTTTGGAAGGTGATTATAAACTTCGGAATGGAGGCAGGTATCCTCGCATTTATTATTTTCGGATGGTGCAAGGAATCGGAATGCCAATGGCATACTGATTTTCATCGATAAACCCAAAATGAAAAAAATGCTTATTGAGCCAAAAACTACGGTCAAATTTGCGAAAAAATGAATTTTTTGGTTTGGGTTCTCTATGTTATCGGTGTGTAAGCGTTCTAAGATATTTAATGTGGTCGCACAATTGTACAAGGGCACTCAGATCTTCGCATAGGAACTATATCCGCACAGCATAATTTATGAAAATTTTGAGTTTTGCTATGAATCTTTATTTAATGTATTTTATATTTTTTATAGAGCGGCTTGGAGGCTAATTGGCTTTAAGACCGTTATCGTGGAATAAAAAGGTGTCTTCAAGAAACAAAAACCCACGCTATTTGCAACATCCAAGGTCACATCTTTCAGATATTAAAAAAAATTTTTGTCCCCAAAGTCAATATTCATATATGACCCGGATTTGTGGCGTGATAATTCGGAGAGTTGGTTTATGTTACTGTATCGGTGTGATAACTATAAAGGCACTTAGTTTTGAGCCATGCAGCGGCTTCAAATCCAAGATAAAAAATATGGGAATATTAACATTTTATACACCCGCTATTTTTAAAGATGTGGCCTTGATGTTGCAAATAGTGGCCAGGTTCTGCTTCTTGAAGACACCTTTTTATTCCACGATAACTGTCCTAAAGCCAATCAGCCTCCAAGCCGCTCTATAAAAAATGTAAAATACATTAAATAAAAATTTATAGCAAAATTCAAAGTTTTCATAAATTATGCTGTGCGGATATGGTCCCTATGCGAAGATCTGAGTGCCCTTGTACAATTGTGCGACCACATTAAATATCTTAGAACGCTTACACACCGATAACATAGAGAACCCAAACCAAAAAATTCATTTTTTCGCAAATTTGACCGTAGTTTTTGGCTCAATAAGCATTTTTTTCATTTTGGGTTTATCGATGAAAATCAGTATGCCATTGGCATTCCGATTCCTTGCACCATCCGAAAATAATAAATGCGAGGATACCTGCCTCCATTCCGAAGTTTATAATCACCTTCCAAAAGCTGTTCCAAACTTTTGACGCACTTATTTAAAAAATTTTTTTTTTAAATTCCAACGAGCTTTCTGATTTCCATGGCTATGTATTCATTGAGGTTCTTAATACATGGAGCTTCTAATAAAAAAGAAATGAAACTCCCATCTCAAGCCGCAAAGAAGATCTGGCCTGTTCCAAACTTTTGACGTGCAGTATACCTTATATGAAGAGTCTCTCCTATGCGGAGATTTTTAGCTGGCGCTTTGCAAAGGCCTTTGCAACAGCAGTATAGATATGTGTATAAATATGTAACAACCTTTGTGGTTGAGATAGTACGCGAAACGCGGAGAGTGGCCAGAAAGAAAAACACTTTTTGGCCATATCTTTGCCAGTTTTGCGGGGGAAAAATTGATTTTTTGTTGAAACATGACTCTTTACAGTAGAAATACGCTTGCAACTTTTTATGACAGAATTGGCAAAAAAATGACTTTTTTTCTAATTTTCGACCTAAAAATCTCGGTCGTGTCCAGAGCCAAGGGGTGTGGCTAGGCAGAGAGCAGGGGTACCCTAGCACGGCTTCGGATAAAAAAAAGCAAAAGAATCATAAGGGGGCCAAGGTAATTAAGCTTTTTTACATGGCAAACTTTCCCTCAGGCGACTTTCTCCCAGAATTTTCGGGCTTTTGAACAGCTATGTCGCTGGTCGTGTGTGCAAACGGCGTTGCAAGAACCATACTTTGTATGTCTTAGCAAAAATTAATCTAAATCGGCAATAACTTTGACGAGGATCTGAGAAAAAACATCCTCCACCACATCAATTCTCATCCTCAAAAAACCCATTTGAGCGTCCGCAATTCGCTGTGCACAAGCTCAAGAAAAAAACAAAAAAGAAGATTGCCGGAGGGCAGGTAATCCGCCTCTCGTTTCTCCCAAAACCTCCCACCCTTTTCGCCGGCATCCGCGGCGGCAACGCCCTCCCCGTCTTGAATGGAGGCCCCCCGTATACCTGCCCGAGGAAGGGGTATTAGGAGGCGGTGCTTACAGTGTCTTGCGGCCAGAAACACTCCTAATCGTATTCCACAAATCACTGACGCAACTCTTGTCACAAATCGCCGAGGGCTAATCCGGTCATAAGCGGCAATTTACGAACTGACAGAGGAGACGAACAGGTTTTCTGCAAATTTTGCAACGATTTAAAGAGAGCACGTGGAGCATGGAGACTGGACAGAGAGAAAAACAGTTTTTGGCCATATCTTAGCCAGTTTTGTGAAGGAAAAGTTGATTTTTTGTGGAGATATTGCCTTCTATGAAAGAACCAGGTATGAAACCTTTCATGCCAAAATTTGCCAAAAAATAAATACCAAATTTTCACTAACTTCCGACCTAAAAATCTCGATTCTGCAAAGCGCAGACGGCCTTAGAAAAAAATGATTTAAAAATCTCGCTTCGAGCACCTCTAGAATTTGTCAAAGACCGCTGGAAAATAGTTAAAACCACCTGCAAACCGCTAACTATAACATAAAGAAAATTTGACGAAATGTCACAAAAATTATTGGAAAATTTTTTCTCAAAAATTTCGTTTTTTACGTCCTAAAAATCACAAAAACCACGATAATCCGCATGTTTACAGATCCGAAACTCCAAACAATAGCCAAAATCCGCAAAATCTTTCGGCAAAAACGGTACAACAGTGAAGAGTGCAGATTAACGACATGTGCCATGGATAAAGGGAAAAAGATATTCGTTCTAATCGCTGTTTACTCATCCCACGGATGAGACAACAAGCGTCAACAGCGTACGAAAATCCTTCTTCGTAATCGTATCGCTGTTGGAATATTTAACGAAGAATAACAAAATAATAATCCCACATAAAAATTGCTGTAACTTCTGCGGTCGTCCATGGAAATGTGTCGTACTTTTTTGGGGCCAGCATGGATTAGTGTACTATAGATCATGTGCGAAAAAAATTGCCTACGTGCCTTTTGGGAAAGGTATAGAATATGCGTTTAATTGAGGAAATGCTATTACGCTTTTTCAAAAGAAGCAGACTTTTTTTCGCAGC